AATTGGCTCCAAACCATCTGGAAGGAGAAGAACACTGGCTTTGCATAAATTGGGTCGCCAGTCGAACCACTGAATAAACTGAATCGTTTTGAAGAGTGAATTATAATTTATTATAGCCCAGCTTTGGCAGTATAGTGGCATTCCCGGTCACTTAAAGGAGGATTGCACGGAAAGAACGAAGGTCGAAGAAGGGAGAAATCGCCTAGTGGGGAGAGCGGTGAATCTCTTGAGGGTGCGGACAGACACGCAATCGGCATCGAAAGATTTGACCTCTGAGATCTAGCATGGCTCAAAGTTGCGAGTTCGGCGATCTCCGCCCACCGATCGTCTGATCACTCGCCGTAGTACAATAGGTGGCGAGTGATTAGATAGCTGAGAGAGCGTAGGGTTGAAGAGGGCAAAGCGATGAGAGTCCCATCAATGCTCAAATCAACGGACAAGGAAGGGGTCCCATTTCTCCGGTTCTGGGCCGTTTTTCGTGGTTTCGCTTTCTTTCTGGTACTACTCACCATCTCTACCTCAATTTGGAATGGGTTGCTTTTCCATCGTAAATTCGTCCTTTAATTGAAAATAATTAGCTGATCAAACAATCTCCTCTTGAGAACACGGCACCTTACGCCTACCAAAAGTAGTGAACAGAGTAGAGGGACCTAATTGGTGGGGTGGAAATAAAAAAGTGGAGCTTCAGACCCTAAAGCCAAGAATTCGCCTGATCACGTCAAGACGTCTCAAACGGCCTAGCTCCCGGCGCATTAGTTTCTGGTTCTATTCGATGTATCTCCCGTGCTTCTATTGTTTTCCTTTCCAGCGGCCGCACCAAATATTTGTAATGAACTCTTCCATCAAGGGATGGGGACATTCTTCCCCTCATGCTCTAATTTACCGTGTTTGGAAAAAACCACTACGAGAGTAAGCAGCAGGATTGGACAACACTCTTCTGTGTTCATACAGTAGAATCTTCAATGGTCCTACCGAATCCCCTATTTTTCTCATCACTATTTACCCTTTGACTGCCCCACTCCTCGAGAACTGAGCCGGGTTTTTATCGAAATTTGTCCATGACTGTGGATTTGGCTAGAAACTTGCCTTCAGGGTAATTCGACCCGTAGAACACGAATATCACATTCGTTTACCGCTAGAACGCCTGGCGCTCGCGTCAGAAGCGCCGGCGCCAAAAGGCGCCAGAAACATCTCGATCCCCAATCAATCGTCTGAAACCTTGCTTCAGGGGTACTTCGACCCGTAGAACAGGAATATCAGATTAGCTCGTTGCGAGTGAGCCTGTAGCCTGAGCTACGGGCGCTCGCGCGAACTGTTGTGATAGCTCCGGCGAATATGGCGCGGGCGCCAAGCGTTGTCGCGCTAAGCCGGTGTGAAATTCGTGTTTTACGGTCGAATCATCCCAGAAGGCAATTTTCTAGCCAACCTACAGTCTGCTATCGGTTAGCAAAAAGCCTAAGAAAGCTCAAGGAGAGGGCTACAACAACCAATCTTGCTAACAGCCATGATAGACCTTCTCTTTTCCAATTCTCGGTGAAGGGTAGAACACGAGTGATAGCTGACCAGGATCAGCCATCAACTGAGGAAGCCTCAAGGTGAGGAGTCCTGTTTGGTTTCTTGAAGAGGAGTAGGTTTTGATAAAATGTTTCCTTTTTACCAAGCTACCTGGCTGGTGTTGCCCTCTTCAACCGGAGTACATACCTACCACGCCCATCAAATGCATGCACCATTTACCACGAGGTAAAAGAAGGGCAATACTTGCTTAGGTTGCTGGATTCCTTACCGCTTCCCAGTACCTCCAGCAAACCTATGTATTGACGCCTACTAGAAGCATTAAGAGGGTGACTTCGTGCGGACGCTTACCCAAAAAGAAAACTGAACATGATAAAGAAAAGGATGTCTGAGGTAGTTTGTCCAGGTACCACTTACAATAGTGCTTCCCATATTTCATCGAAGGCTAGGCCCATGATCAATTTTATGGGGTAGTCTCACTTTAATATGAAGTGTGAATGCCACGTGGACCACAAGTGAAAAGAAAATAGAGAAATTGTGGAAAACACTGGCTAGGAACCTTCTTGTCCACTGCGGAGAAGTAAAGGTAAGAAGTACACAGCAAGACAAGAAACGATACGGTTAGTGGAGAGAGAAAAAAGTCCGAGTCGAGATAGCACAACAGGTCAGCTCCACCACATAGACAAGATCGAGCGGTGAGTCGGCCTGGTCCTTTCAGGCGTGGAATGATCCCATTTCTTAGCGCCCAGCGTCATAGTGGGCTTCTAAAGGGGCGAAAATGGCGCGACTTTGCAGTGGCCTGCCGGCTTATCCCCTCTACCCCTTCAGGGAGGCCGAGCCTAACCCTCACCTCTAAAGGCAAGTTCCAGGATTGGCACTCGCTTGTTCCATGCTGCACTAAGTTCAAGCACCCACAGCTCTACCTTGGAAGGTTTTTTAAGCCGCGATCTTCAGGAGTCCCTCCCGCTTTTCAGGGATCAAGATTAAATCCAGCGCTCGTGGATACCGTAGCACACCTATTCCCCAAGAGTGTCCTGAAATAGCTCAGAATTTCTATTCCTTGTCATATTTTTCACAAATCACTTCCGAAGTTCAAGTGCTTGTTTCGGTGCCTCCTTTCGAGGCATAATCTCGATGCTTTTTTAAGACACCCATAATTGAGGTTAAGATCGTATTTATTAACCGTATGCTAACAAACAGATGCAATCGAGTTCATTCAAGTCACGCTGAATCTATCGGTACAACTGTGTTGGGGCTTTTGTTGGATGAAGACGACAATGTCAGATATTCCGTTTCGCCTCGCACTGTGCTACCTGTGATGACAACCGTGTGGACGCCTGTGCCAGGACATTCGAATTTCGCCTGCAGCAGCACAGCCTCCAGAATGGACCTAAAAATTGCGCGTTTCACAGCCAAGAATTCACCAGTACATCGATATTAGTTCATTGAATGAATAAATGAAGAAGCTTGCCTGAGAGCTCTAGCGCCGGTTTTCCTCTGAAAAGCTCTTCGTGCCAGTTCATTGATTGCTCCTCGAGTGAATCTAAATGTTGAACTCTTTAAAGGTTCGTGAAGCGCTGTGAATCTACTCTGATTATACGTGTTCAATAAAGCATTTCACGACTGCTCTGCCGTTTTCGCGTGGGAAAAATTAGTGGACAAATTGAAGAAGCGCTTATGGGTTATTTTATGCGCCATGCATCCTACTTTCGAATGGGTGCTCATGCCCTTGGGTTGCATTCAACAGGGTCGATAGTAGGTAACACTAGAATTAAGCCCGGGAGAGTGATGAGGAAACACGCAGCGGATAGAAGAACAGTGCTCTAATCTTCCTCCAGAATCCCTGCTCCCTAAAGAACTAGTTTCAAAGCACCAGTAAATGGCTCACATTATTTAACTGTCCATCCACCCTCCCATCCCCCCCATCACCAACGACATAGGCGCCTTCAAATGATGTGGACATCTCCGACCACCTCACCACCTGCTCGGCGAAAACCACCCCTCGCAACGAACACGTGCTGGTCATCTACTTTAATCATTATGCCTTTCCAATCTAACACGATAAGCCGCCAAACAAATACGCATTAAGCTTCAACTCAGGTTCACCCTCCCAGATGGTGTTGCATACAAAATTAGTTGGAAAAGTAATGGAGAGGGGGAAGAAGTGATGCTAGTATCCAGCATTGCATTACCTTTGCTGTCATTGTAGCCGCTTTGCTTCAACGCTGAAGTATCCCCAGAAAAGCTCAAAAAACCCGAAAATACGAATCAAGATCAAGGCTTGCGTCCATGTAAACGGACCTGAGTTGAATACTGTCCATGGCGAAGAAGCGCTGCGCTTGTGAGATAAGATTGTTGCGAGGTTCTTGTAGTACTCGAATCAACATCTTTTCATCCAATGCGTGGAAAGGCACGAGCACGGGAAAGCGCCCGACCAACTCGGGTACCATTCCAAACCTGAAACTTTCAAGACTATGCACTTCAGAGGAGGGATGCGGGCTGCGAGATGGATGGGGTTCTTAAGGCGCTATTTTGGTCGTGCATTGCGAGCTAAAGCATTAGTTAGGATTAGAGTAGAAGAAAGGCAAATAACATTTTACGAATCTTTTGTCGGTTTCCTTCTTCAATTTAGAGCCAAACTAAAATCCTCCCGTCTGACCGGGGAGCAAATCGGTCACAAGTTCGAACAGATATCACTTTCACTTGTTGATTCCTATACGATGAAATAATGAAAAATTTAAACAATACCATCAAAACCGACTTTCGAAAATTTTGTGACGTGCCCTTTCTCGAAAACATTTGAGATACCACAGTAGTAGAAAACACAGCGGCAAATGACTGTGTTTTTCTGAACTTTTGAAAGCTCACATTTAAAAAATTGGGGGTGCGTGACTATTCAATCGTGGCAGTAAGTAGGTCGCCGCGCCGGCCGCCGCAGCCAGCAATATCGCGGCGAATTTGCAAAGAACTCAGCATCCAAGCATTGGGAATGTAAGATTAGATCATGTTTCCCTTCATGAAACATGAAATAAGAACCACCTAACCTTTAAAATGCAGTTTCGTTTTCGCTCGCCGTTATTACATACTTATCATATCATGCTTATGTTAGAGCCTTCCTCGCCGCTACTCTGTGTCTTGATACGCAATATTCTTTCCGATTGAACCAGATTATCACTCTCTGATAGAAATTCAGGAAACTGATTAATAAAGAAGTCAAATTAAATCCAAAAGGACAACCTTTACACGGTACAGTTTGTACTGCGAGGCTTAAATCACTGCAGGGATCTTACAGTGACGCTTGCTGGCTTACTGATGTCCAGCACTCTGGTGTTATCAGTCACCTAGCCAACTTATGGCATGGATGGATAAGAAAAGGTCCACACAGAAATCGCCGCAGCAACTGCCGCACGCGACGATTCTCGCCGCGTGAGCGGCGTGACCTCATTAGCCGACGATTGTATAGTCCGTCGCCCAAAACTGACGCTATCCGTAAGATACGGGAGGCATTGTGCTGGCGATGGCTTTGAATCGCGCAAAACTTCTCTATATTTTGAAAATGAGGTTGCGCCCCAGACGGGGGAGGGGAGACTCTAAGATGGGTGAGCAATTTTAAATTTCTCCAATTTTTCTCCCCTTTCTAGGCTCAGCGCTAGAGGGTATCCCTGTAGGCAAAAATTGTTCCTTTGTATGTATAACCAAATGCAAAACATACTGCATTAGATCCGAAGGATCGACTTGCTTCAACAGTTCGTTGCGCTTCTCGCCAGCAATCGTTTCATCAGTGGACGATAGGTCTTCAGCTACATTAGCGAATGTAGCGCCGAAACCAAGCACCCTGAAGACATTGTTAGCAATTTTTGGCTTGATCAAGAACTACTCGAGCATATCACTAACCGTTTATCGACCCTTCGGGCAACAATTTGCTCAAGATTCGAGAACGCACCCGATGCGATAAACAGAATGTTCGTTGTGTCGACGTCCACCTGCTAATAAGTATTTAATCTCTTGACCAACAGGAGTCATTCTACTCCACACTGATACTCGCTCATCAGTCATTAATTTTATACAAGCTTTGACTTCACGGGATCATGTTCAAGGTGGATTTTACGATGAAAAGGCAGCTCATTAGAAGTGAGGGTAAAGGTGGTGCAAGGATGAAGAAAAAATAGGAGAATCCCAGATCGAGAAATTGGACCCTTCCTTGCCCGTTGATTTCCGCATTGATGCGACTCTCATCGGTGCTGCCCTCTTCAACGCTAACGCTCTCTCTGCTAAACGGCTAGAGGGTCAGACAGCGAGAGGAAGGCGTACCGCGCCGATAGCGCGCCAATAGCGCCGCGGAGAAGGCTAGATTGCCAGAAGCATATCTTCG